TCAGACTCGTATCTCATCTCGTGGGTTTCCTGTGCTAATCGCGTAATGCATCTTAGTGTTCGCAGTTCTATACCGTTCTTTTTAACGCTTGCTCAGATTTGGCAAAGAAAGATTCATTCCGGATTTTGTTGGATCCTCTGCATGAGACGCTGAATGAAAGTCACATTCTGCAGGTGCTTTCGAAATGCCGAGTGACTGTGGGTGTGAATCGTTCGCGTTAGACACAAGCCTGTGGAACGAAACCCTCCCTAAATGCACAGAACAGGTGCAGCATGAAAAGCAGGAATATAGACTTCTCCCACTGATGTAAAAACAGCCATACTGGGCCTGGGCGTCCAGTGGCTTAGGCGGGGGGAGGTTTTGCTTTCCAAAACCGCTACCCTGGTCCTGCCTACACTACGCCCCCAGAACACCTGCTGTAGGCATACGGGGGGCAGAATGTTGCTGCCCCCAGCGCCTGCCTTCCCTGCACTCTGGGGTGGCTCGGGCCACGCTGCCACCTCCCTTCCCGTTGCTCTGGAGCTGGGAAGGCTGGAGCCATGTGGCCTCCTCCTTCCCTGCTGCTCCTGGGGGAGGGAGACTCAGGTCATGCGGCCTCCTCCCTCCCCACTGGTCTGGGGATGCTAGGATGCATACATGCGCTCTTCCCCTCCCTGTGGTGGGACATGCGCCTGCTGCGCCTCCTCCTCCCCTCCCTGTGGTGGGGGGCGGAGCCTCAGCAAAGGGGGCAGGGCTGTAGGTAGGGCTGGGGTCTCCCTCCCCCAGCCCCAGCCGCCCATGATACCGGGTCGGACCAATGATCCATCTAGCTCAGCAAGCCTGCAGAGTGCAGCATGCCCCCCAGCCCTTGGTGCAGCGCTCCAGCAGCAATTTAAAGGCAGCAGCAGCCTTTGAATTGCTAAGCCCAGGGGCAACTGCCCCTCTTTGCCCCCCCTTTGTCGGGCTGATTCGTGCCACGTGTAGCCATGGTTTTAATGGCATCTGGGACCTGTAAAAACATTTTTCAGTTGTTTCTAATTTGTCCGCAGCTGTTCTCCCCCAGAATTACAGACCCATGAAAGAGCGTGTGAAAGGCAGGTAGTGGCTTGGCTTGCTGGCCATTTAACCCCGTCCCCCATAACTTCAGGAACCCTCCCCCCGTCAGCTGGCCACCCCCCCCCCAGGCCCTGGGTCCAAGAACCCCGAGGAGCCTAGAGGAAGCTCACGCATGTCTCCACTCAGACCACTAGCCCTGCTGGCTACTGCAGCTCATCCTCAGCAGCTGAGCCTGCTCTGAGCTCGTTCCCATCCAGTTCGCTCGCTTGTGTCCTTTTGCCCCGACAACAGGGACCCCGGAGCTCAGGCCACAAAGCCACCAAGAGCATCGCTCGCTGCTGCGCCGAGGCTTTTGCGCCTAACCTCTCCGGCTTCCTCCTGTCGCCTCTGCATCCTCCCCGCTTGCTACCCCGCCCGCCCTCCTGCACCCCGGCCCGGCCCCACCCCAGGATCCTCCCCCTGCGGC